CTGGCTGAGCTGTAGAAGCCAGCTCTGTACTAAGTCCAGAACTAATAAAACATAGTTTCCTTTCTTTGAAAAACCTGCTAGAAAAGCAAGTGGCAGTGTTTAATGCAAACAAAGCACTAGATTTATAAGTATGGGATTGTTTGGTTTGTTTCTAGGTAGGCAAGAAAAGTGCGTATTATCAGTAAAAGCACCCCTGCTTGACTGACCCTGGGCCAATCACTTGTGTCTTGCCCTGGACAAAGCATGTTTCTTGCAAGTTGGACAGAGCTGCAGCTCAGTTCCTAGCTCAGCTTCTGAGTCTTCCTTCATCAAAGACTTGCCAGCTGTGCCAGGCTTTGAGCATGGGTGTGACCTCTGGCCCCAGACAGCCTTTCCTGAGCTGAGAATTCCAAGCCCTCATGGTAGGGTTGAACCCTATAGTGAGAGGTGGAGTGTTAACTGTGGTGTGGTACCTATAAGGTGACTGTAAAGTTTTTAATGTTTTACTACGCACTAGTTGCTTTCAAAGTCAACCAAACTTGTCTGGAGTCCCATGACCTTGTGTACGTTTTTAGCTCTTACCTGTTTTCGTACACTTGGAGCCATGTACCTGTAACAAGTCACGATACAGATTTCTCAACTATCTGCGGGTATGAAAACTTCAACACTGAAAGCTTCAGCACAAGCTCCTTCAGTTGACCTGTAGGTAAGCCCTGTAGGTAAGAAGTAGGTTTCAGCAAGCTCAGGTGAGACTTGCCACGAGAGGGAGATGTGATGCACACAGCCTGCGTGTTCCCTGAGCACATCCACCTGAATCATAAGACAGCCTAGCCTGGCATTTTGTAATGTGGCTGGACACAGGCAGCTGCTAGTGAAGTGGTGAGACTTGGGGCTGTGGTTGTGCGATAGGTACCTGTGATAGAAAACAGGGACTTAGTTTTGGCTAGTCATCGTCTTCCAAGCATCCGCAGCGTAACTAGCAGCTGCAAAGCACAATGAAAACGGAATCTAGATCTGCTAGCAATGGGATAGCACGTGTCCAGACCTCTCTGGGTCAGGTCAGGGAGATCCTGGTGTGAGCAGGACTGTGCAGCACCGAAGGAGATGTTTCAGATACCCACAGCTGGCTGGTGAGGCTGTTCCCTGTTCATAGTGCAAACAGCCATGACAAAGGCTGCGCTACACCCTGCAACCAGCTTCAGCAGGCTGGACCAGTGGGGGTGTTTGCACAGAGCTGTGAAAACACAGCGCTGCGAGCGCCCGGCTTCTGTGGCACCCAGGGTGCTGTTGCCGCTTGGGAGAGCTTCTTTGCTTCCTCAGCACCAGCCGAGAGATTTCATGGGAGAAAAGGCCTGTTCAGTGCGCATGGGATGGCTTCGTTTGCCCTCCAGATTGTGTCGTTTTTTCCCATGGCTGCAGCACAACAGCGGGGCTCTGTTTTGCTTTGGGAAGGGAATGAGCTGCTTCATCATTGTGATCTCTGTGCAGTGTCCTGTTGATAAGATCAGTTAACAGCAGAGGAAAACTCTAGATTCAGGTCTGAAGTAAAAAGTGAACAGGGCCTATTTGTTTAATTTGAGCTTCTAAGGTTTAAATCCCAGAGGAAATTAAATTAGGTGCCTAGAGCAATGGCAGTCTGTCATGTTTATTTGCTGGGAATGTCACCTTTAATATCAAGCACATATAACGTGTGTGTGTGTTAATGTAATGGGGTATCATACTGTGCAGGAGCAGGCATGCTACAAGAACTGGAAACCTGAAATATTGTGAGTGAGGAACTCTGAGATGGGATTGGATTTATTCTCATCCTTCTCAATAGGAGCAAAGACTCACTCACCGGCATAAAGGTGGTTTTGCTGATGGCAGGTGGGGATGGCAGCCTGGTCAGTGAGCACAGGCCTTAAACGCTCTTGGGCCATTTTGATTGGGCTACTTTGAAGAGGAGAGATCTTGTCTAGACATGAATCCAGGATGACAATACTTCTTGCTTCAAAGCCTTTTTCAGCAGTCAGTGTGCTGCAGATGCGTGCCTTCTCCCTCTTCATCCTCGGGAGAGCTCAGTGGTGCCACTTCCCTGTGCTGAGGGACGTGGCTGCTTGTACTTTTCGTTACACCCGTGCTTTGGAGACTCCTTTCTTCCCCAGGAAGGAGAGCATGTCTCCCCAGCAGCACAGAGTAGTAGGATTTGGGGTGTTTTTTCTGACTCAAGCCTCTTAAGGATGGGTTCTGAGTGACACATGGTGTGAATGTCACTGCAGCAGTTTTGTCATTGCTGCCTGTGACGCCTGCCCTCCACCAAAGTTAACTGTCTACGCAGGGCTTGCAGAACGGTACTGCGATCTTTTCTCAGTGCGCTGCTTAGAGCAGGCTGCCATTGCTTTGGTCCCACAAACACGGTCCATGAGACAGTTGAGCTGTGGACTCCTGTCCCACTCCACGTGTCAGACCCTTCAGGGAGCCGGTTCAGCTTACTACATCAGTGGAATTTATGTGAGGTTTTTTCAGCTGGATTACTAAAATTCACTGAGGGGGCAGTGAGCTGCAGATGGGCTCAACCATCCCAGGAGGTTGCACCCCAGGTCAGTGTAGCCATAGTGCTCTGTGTAGGTTTGTCCCAACTCTGGGAGTCTGTGGCTTAGCCAGGACCTGACCTGTTCCCCCCACTTCACTCTCTCCACCCTTTGCTGTTTACCCCTGCATACCTTGTCTTGTTTTCCTCCAGCCGCAGAGCAGCTGGCTGTCTTGCACACGTGGTTCCCATTTCTCTCCTGCCTCTGGCACCTTAGGAGCGTCCAGGGGTCTTCTTGCTGCGCTTGTCTTCCAGTCCCCCTGCCAAAGCTGTGGCTCCTGATTCCTGCTCTCTCACCCATCCCAACCCAGCCAAATCTGTGGCTCCTCTTGCCTGCTCTCTCACCCATCCCAACCTCTGGCATTTTTGCTCATCTGTGGATGGGTGAATATTCATTTCCTCCTTGCCTGATTGCTGTGAATACCAATTCCTCCTCCTGTTTCCGGCTGTTCTGTAGATTTTGATGTCTGCCAAATTGTTTTCATTCCCTCACCCTGTTGCAGGCTGCACCTCCGCAGAAACCGATCTGCTCTGTGCAGAGCCCGAACTCCCCACCCAGCTCTTCCTTCTGAGTTGAGCGATCGGGTTGCCCTTGTGCCTCCGACACGGACAGACGGCTTCCTCCTCCTGCAAGCAGTCAACAAACGAATGTCTCCAGTTCAACAAGCAGAATAGTTACGGACTCCTGCAAGGAGACTGCAGTAGTTTGCGGTGGTACTGCGTGTTTCAGTGCGATGTTTCTCAGCTTGCCAGTCTGCAGATTGGTGCCAGGTTGCAGAGTCCTGTCCAAAGCAGCAAGCTCCTGGCTCCTAGCTGAAGCAGGTTTTTTTCAGGCTTGAGGTATGATCAGAAAGGCCTGATGGAGGTGCCTGCATCCCTACTGAGCAGCCAGTCATAAACCCTGGCCTGGAGCCTGCTGCAGGTTGAAGCTCAGCGAAGGGGAGAATGTGGTGGGGAGAGAAGGTTGCAGCTCCCTCATCCCCTGGGAAATCTGTGCGCAGTGGCAACAGGGTGGCAAGGTTGAAGGGGAGAGAACTGCAGACACCTGGTAGCTCTTGGATCTGGATTTGGTGGTTTGGGATCTCTTCTCTTGCCAGCCAAAGGGAGAAAGGGAGACCAGAGAATTCTCTTTCTGTCCAATAGCCCTGCTTGTGTGTTACCAAAATGGAGCCCAGAGGCTTCCACTTGCCAAAGAGGCCACAGCATCTTGGTGGTCGCTCACTCCTCGCTGGTGTTACTGGCACCAAGGAACTGGTGGGCATGGGAGGCAGCTTCCTGCACGGGGCCTGGCTGCCCCTCTTGCAGATGTGAGCTGGAGGGCACAGCAGAGAGCAGTGGGGCTGGGCACTTGGCTCTATTGGGGTTGGTGCTGGAGCAATCCCTTCTCTGGGAAGGAGCACGGAGCTCATGGCTGGGGAGAGCAGCAAAAGGGAAGGGTGGGCATGGGGATGGTGGTTGCTTCAGGATGGAAAGTGATGCCAGAGAGAGGGGAAAGGGTGGAGTGAAGGAAGGAAAGGAGGAGCAGGGGGAAGAAACAAACCTGTAGGCTGAAATGGGAATAATCCGCTGGATACTGCTGCAACCTAACTCCCAGGAATGCTCTCACCGCGTGGGGATGTTTGCCTGGTCCCACACTGCCGGCTCTGCTCCTGTGCCAAGCCAGCTGGCCTGCCTGGAGCTCTGGCCTTTATGGCTGCTGTGAAGAGAGGCAGGTCATGTTTGCTTTTGGCTATCACATGCTTTTTTTAAAAGAGAGTGGGAATTCCTCCCCTTGAATTCCCGGGGCTGGTTTCCCCTCTGTTTCTGTGGTTTACGTGACTCGGGGAGCACAATTCGGGTTGTGGCCGGCAGCTGCTTTCCTGGGCCACTTCGTGCTTGCCAGGCTGGCCTCGAGATGAGCCAAAAGCCTTCCCAGCACAGGCTCATGGAGGTGTCTGGCACGGGCACCTCTGGGAGCACCTCCCGTACCCCACACCTGGTTCATGTGAGCAACGCGCTGCACTCGGGTCAGAGACCTCCTCGTGCCCAGAACACTGGCTCCGTGCAGGTCTCCAGCTCTCCCTGTGCTGCTGCTTCCTGATGAAACTGAGCTTAACTTCAATGGATCAGATGAAAGTGTCTGTCTCCCACTGTCTCTCCAACAGTTGTTATCTTGACCCCTTTTCCTCCTTCCCCACTCTGTCTGTCTAAAGCTGAGCCTCTAATTTTAGACTGAGGAAGATAATTGAGGGTCAAAAAAGATTGCTGTATAATTTTAACATTTTTTTTCAATGGTTGGAGTGGGAGGCAAAGTTAGGAGCTCCTTGCCCTCAAACCTTTGTATTGTGGGAAAGAAGGATGTAGGGGAAGGAGTGAGCGGGTACAGTCTGCTCTCTGCAGAAGTCGTTCTGTTTCTTGGCAGTTAGCTAAAACTAGGAGTGTAAAGGCGTAAACTACTGCGTTTCCTTTGCAGATCCTATTGACCGAAGAGTTCGTAGAGAGAATGCTGGAAGATTTAGAAGATCTGAATTCTCCAGAGGAAGTAAGGCTGCGTCATTCTCGTATCTCCCATGTACTGTCCCAGAGAGCTCAGCCCGTCCCACAGCTTGCCTTTGATCCTCCCCTCAGCTCACAGGCTGCAGCCCTGCCCTGTAGACTTGAGGCCTTTCTAAACCTTCACATCTGCTGTGAACTAAGGCACTGAGAGAAGGGGTTGTAAGAAATACAGGACAGGGATGCATATGAAGGGAGGTTCTTTATTTCCTTTCTGCCAGTATCTTTCCCAAGGTAGTATCCGAGTGCCCCAAATCACAGCGGTGCAGCCCCTGGGCAAGTGGTGGAGTTCCCTCCATGCATAGCGTTTTCGGCAGCAGCTCCAGACACGTCGCCTTACGTGCTCTCAGAAAGGCTGAACGAGGTGGCAGCACATTTACTACTGAGCAGTCTGTTGCAGGAACCTCCTTTTTTGGGTTTGGGGAGCAAGCTGGGGCTTTTTCACATCTGCTACTTGGCCTTCACCTGCTGCCCCTGCACGGTGCGCAGAGGACCATCATCAGCCTGAAAGCGTTATAGCAGCAGCCAAGGGAGCTTTATAACGCTTTGCTGTGCGGTACTAAACTTCACCCTGCCATGTGATCTCTTCCCGGGGAACATTTAACACCCTGTCTCCTGTGCATGCCATATAAATATTCTGCTTGACTTCAAAGAGCTGTGGCAGAAATGACATGTAATATTTTTAATCCCATTTTTTACAGCTCCCTGCAGACTCTAAAGAAACTTTGCTTGGCTTGTGGAACAGCCCTCCCATCCCTTGCCCTGCTCCCCTCCCCTCAGGAAAATCTTGGGGCTCTAATTGTTTAATCCAGAGTTGATTTAATGCCAGGGTGTTCTTCAATGTGTGAGTGAAGGGAGCACGCTGCTGGCTGTGCAGTGACTTTCAGGCCAGCTTTTATCCAGTTAAACCTAATCCAAAGCTCATTTTTGTTAGTGGTGTGGAAGCTCAGGAGCACTCTGGTTTGAAGGCCCTGTATTTAAGGCTTTTGATGGCTCATGTTCCTTCAGTCTCCACTGAGAGGCAAAGGCAATGAGCATGGCAGCTCCTGGCACAGTGACCGGGCATTCAGTTCTGAGTTGCTAGTCGCTGTGACTTTGCTAAATTAAAAAGTGAAAAACAAACTAATGCAAAGGATGAGTTCTCGAAGAGGATTGCTTTGGAACCACTTGTGTTTATGAAAAGGAAAATACTTGAGATGAAATGTGATCTTTCAGCATCCAGATTCCTCTAAGGATTTGTAACTTGCAGGATCCTGGTTTGGGCCAGCGGCAGGCGTTCCTCAGCAGCCCTGTTACTGATGATATTCATGTGGTAGAGTGAAGTGCTGCGAGGGAGGACTTTCTGTTGCTGCATAAAGAGTCACCTGTTTAAAGTGAAATTAAGTGAAGTGATCCAAGTATCTTTAGCATGTTTTTCATGCACCCTAGACACTGAACCCAGAAGAATTCCCTAGGCAGTGTTTGGCCACTAGGTTATATGGTGCAAACTATAGGCAAGGCTTGAGTTAAAAAAAATGTGAGCCTTGCTTTTTATGTTTCCTGGAGAATAAAGAGTAGGAGCTTATGGTAGCCGCTCTCCTGAAGGATCCTCCTGCTCTGCCCCCAAATCATGGATCAGACCCTGAACAACCAGCCCGGCATACTAAGGTCACTGGGTACCAACTGGAGGCTACCCAGCTGCAAGTGGAGCAAGGTCAGGAGGAAAGTCATGTTAGAGCCATGTTAGAGCAGGCAGCTGGAGGGGATTGCCTTTAGCAGGAACCTGCCACTCAGCGTGTATGAATGTCCTTCAGAAACAGGGCACTTGCGGGAAGAAAGACAAGAAGTTGGATAAAGACGGATGATTCGCAGGTCACCGTCGCCTTGCACCAACTCTCTAGTTCCTGTAGCCCTTGGGAAGCTTATGGTGCTGCTGGCCTTGGTCTGAGGACTCTCCTAGGATAGGACCGCTGTATCTGTAACCATTCTGAATTAGCTGCGTTCAGATCAGGTTGTTACTGGTAGCGTGAGATCCTGGTGAGATTCCTCACTGGGACTGCCGTCGGGGTGTTGGAGGCTATCGCAGTGCCACACTATGGGTGCAGCAGTTTTAAAGACATCAGTGATTCTGCAAACTGGCTTCCAGGGCTGTCTGCCACGTGTTTGGGACCCTCGCTCTGGGTGCTGCCATTGCATGACAAGCTAGTCCAGAACTGGTTGCAGGCCAGCTGCAGAGCAGATCTGTAGGCTGAGGGATTCCACCACCCCCCTGCAGAGCTGTTTTTGAGAGACTGTGTGAATGCGTGGGCCCTGGTCAGAGGCAGTTGTGAGAAAAGTGGTGATAAGGCTTCTTGGAGCTCTGTCCCTGCATGGTCATGTTGGGGATCAGAGGTGTTGGGGTGACTCCTCAGCCTAAGGTGAGGTGCCCTGGCGCAACATGCATTTGTCTTGTTTGGGAAACACTAGCCAGAGACGGTGCTGTGTAAACCAGACCCGGGCAAAAAAATCTCCTTCGCCTGCACTTCCACCAATGTTTGCAAAACAGCCTGAGCAGCCGAGTGCCTGTGTGAATATGAGGCATTGTACGGGTGCTCTGCGAAGCCTTTGTGCCAGAGGTGGGTAGGGCTGGAGCAAAAATGCTACTCAGGCATGCTGGCTTTCCCCAGCCAGGGCGCCTGTCACCCAGCAGAGCCATGAGAGCTCACATGTGTCCCACCCTGTACGAGCAAGAGTTAAAAGCTGCCACAGGTCTCCCTGTAAAGCAAACAGGGAGCTCTGGGGGCTGGGGTAGGTGGAAGGAAAGCGATGTGATCAGGTAGAAGGGGAGATAATTCTGCTTTGAGTGTTCAAAGAGACTGGGGAGGGGAAATGGCGATGGAGGCAGAAACCCTCCAGAATCTGATGAAATAAACAGCACTTGGGCTGAAATCTCAGAACTTTACTTTGGCAGCTGAGGCACAGGCCACATTATCTAATGTCCACTGCTGTCCAAAACACACTGATGGGGAAATGTTTTCTTAGTGGCCTCTTGTTTTAAAAAATAATAATAACAGGGGGCTGCCTGCCTTTGCCACAATTTTTTTTTTCAGGGCAGGTTGCAGCGATTTACATTAACTATTTCTCTTTACTGTCTTACAGTTTAAACTTCCAAAGGAGTACAGCTGGCCTGAAAAGAAACTGAAAGTTTCCATCTTGCCAGATGCCGTGTTCGACAACCCGCTGCATTAGAGCTGAATTACACCCTTCTAACAACTGGGAGAGCCAAGTTACTGTCCATTACCCAGTGACTCACAGGATAATTAATGCAGTAAAAACTCTGCCTGCAAATAAAAGAGTTTGCTGCACAACCACTGCAAGCAGAAGAGGAGCTACTCAGCACCAGCCCAGACCGAACTGAGCCCTTTCCTTTATCCTTCCCAAGGCTGAGCTTTCTGGGAACAGCCTGCGTATGTGTGAGTGCGAGTGAGAAGTATTTAACTATGAAAATTAGTAGTAAGAATTCTTTCTCTCCCCTAGCTACAGAACTCCCCTCTGCCTTAGCCCAGGGTGTAGACACTCTGCACGCCTGTATTTACACATGCGTTTCTGCCAGGTGCGAGCCTATAATCCATGGATTAAATGTTCTTTACGTGACTCTGGAGTCCTTTTGTTAGCCAAACTTTTACTAACTGCAGAACTGTTCTTCCATGTGCTTTTTTTTTTTTCTTCTCAGAAATGGAATGGTATTTCCCCTGTTTAAAGGAGGCCAAAAGCTCACATGCTTGAAGCTGAACAGATTTAAAGATGAACTTTCTAGTTCAGTCAAGAAAAACAAACCCAGATCCTCCCTGCCCTCAAATTAGGCATGTTTTAAGTGTTGGTCTTGGTGCTTTTAGCTATGGTATCGCTGCAAACAGAGGCAACCTTATTCTTGCGCATCCTGTCCTTGTGCCTGAACCCCAGGGAAGGTCGCAACCTCTAGTTTTGCACAAGCAGGAGGAAGAAAGCTACCGGGGCGGGGGAAATCTCCTGTTTACAGTGTGTTTATCTTTAAAGAGATACTGTCAAGTATTTTTTCCTTGCTATTGTACAGAATTTGAGAAGCTAGAAAGGCCCATTTGTTCACAGGGACAACTTCAGCAGCTCTGCAGGATACAGAGGGCTGCTTGAAAGAATATGAAATGGAGATCTCTGCTGCCTCAGCGTAGCAGAGAGGAGACTCAGCCTCAGTAACGCCTGTTCCAAGCCAATTCTCCCTGTTCCAGCAGGGTCGTGCCCTAGCTCAGCTCCATTTTCCCCTCTAGCCTTGCTATGGTGGCTCTTGTTGCTGACATCCCTCCTTTCAGATAGGTTTGAACTGTAAAGCGTCAAAATGAGTTTGAAAAGACCCTCTCTAGATCCCTGTGGCTTCCTCCTCGGAGCAAAATGTGGTGTGCGGAGGAGACTGTCTCTGCAGGGTCGGGTTGTGTCTCTGCGTGGAGATGCTGGCCCCTGTGGATATGTTGCAGCAAACCACTACAGGCTTTACCCCCTGCCGCCGTTTCAGGTTGTTTCTGATGTGTATTCCCAAGCCTTCCTCTGCCCATTGTCTTTTGGTGACAACTCTTCTTCGCTCCTTGTCAGGGGAGGTGCAGCTTTCCCTCCACCCCTTTCTGCCTACAAGATAACTTGGCGATTTATGCGCAATTGCTGTGTGATCGAAATACAAGTATAACAAAGGCTTTTAACACTTAACTCCCCTGATCAAACGGGGAAGTCCAGGAGGCCTCACAGTACCCCGGGGTTGGTTTTCTGTTTGTTTTCTGATTTAACTTCTGCCTGGCACAGTCAGCTTTGATGTTTTTTGCATATATTTGAGGCTGGTTAATGTTGGTCAAGAAGCAGAGCTAGGAGCCACAAAGCTTTCCTTGGACTTGCTACAGAATTCCTCTGTGGCCTCAGGCAAGTCACTCAATGTCTCTCTGTGCAGAGAGGGTGATTATTGACTAGAGGGCTGTAGGACCTACCGAAGCATGCCAGGGTTTGCAGGGGAGGGCGTGCTTTGTGTACAAAGTAGTATTTGTATTACTGTAATTGTTGTTATATTATAATTTAAGGCAGGCCAAATGCAGGGTCCAACACTGCTCGGCAGAACCTTCCTTTCTGCAAAGCTACGAAAGCAATTTACATGTAAATGAGTTTGTCATTTTGTCTGAACTCAGAGGATCATCTTAAAATCCTGCTGTGAAAGAACTAACTTTCAGATATCTGCATGTGCCAGCCAGGGTGATTTCTGGGCTGTGGCAGACTGCATTCAGCCGTGGGATCTCGTGGCCACTTTTCCTTGTCCCGGTTAGCACTCAGCATCCCTTCCGCACCGTAGGTCCATATGCAGGGCACAGTGTGGGCGAGACAGCGGCACGAAAGCACCCTAGTCCAGCTTCAAAAGTGACATGCCCAAGCGTCCCACCGCAAGATGATGAACAAACAGATGATTGTGGCAGCTGGGAGGAAGGCAAGGGCAGCAACTACAGTTTTGTCCCAAAGCCATCCACCAACAGTAGCTCATGGACTGCTCTTGTACGAGCTCGCTGGGGGGGCCTGCAGCAGAGCTGGCCCATTGCCACGATGCTGGCTGCTCTGCCTTGTTCCCAGATGCTAGCTCTCGTTAAAAGAAGCTTAAAATCCACATCTTAGTGGAGAAGGGACGTTTGGAAGGTCAATTGGTGCTGTTCCTGCAGAGATCAGCACGGGGCTGAGAGAAGTCCATCAGACCCTCTCTGGGCTCTGACACACATCTGGAAAGCTTAGGACCTCCTGCCCCATGAACTCTTCGAGCCTTCACAGCAGGGACACGGTGCTGTGCGCAGGGAAAGCACCTCCCTCCTCCAGGCCAGCTTGTGCTCCAGTTCTGCCTTTCTTACGTGTATGTTTTCCTCACCATATTTACTCCCATCAGATGCTCTGGACTGGATTTTCATTGACTTCAGAGGGAGCACACTGAATGCATTTGAAAATCCACCCGGTATCCTTGTGTGTGTGTGTGTGTATTTTTGTTCCATGTCATGTATTTATATATAGTTCTGTGTATTTGAGTTATGAACAGGTGGCATGCCAGAAATCTCTATTTCTGAGACACTTTCTCGCAGATCTTCGCTGGTAGCCAGATAACAATTGAGGGGAAGATTTGAAGGAAAGGAAATGAAATCTCCCTATCTAGTTAAGGGGAAAAAATATTAGACAAATAACTGCTGAAATAGAAATCTCCATCTTGCTGTTAGACCAACTCTAAGAGAGAAACTGGTGAAAGTCAGCCCTTAAGCTGCAAGTTCGTGTCACTGCCTTTCAAGTGTTATCTAAGAATAAGAAAGTTGCATGTTACTTGGTATCACGAAGATCTGCGCACTCGCAGGACCTCCCCTTCCCTGATTCACGTCGAGTTTGCAACCATGCCAAAGGCTTACTCACTGGCAAGTAAAAGAGCTCTCAAGTTTGGATATTTTCATCCAGGGGCAAGAGGACATGCCTGTGTGTGAAGGAAATGGAAAAGAAACCATTGTATTTCAGCAAGCAAGTACTTTTAAAAAGGGAAATGCACCAGTGTTAGTAAACACCACAGTATTTTTCTAGCCTAAACCTGCTGAGATGGTAGGTCCACTGGTGCTGATTTTTTCTAGATTGTGTAGAAAGTCTGAAGCAGGATTGTGCGAAAGCAAAACCTGTGAGGCTTGTGTTGGCTAAAGATAGCGATCTGGATGGAAGTGAACGCGGTCTAGAAGCAGCAAGCACAGGTTTTCTCCCTCCTGGAAAAATCTTGTGATGCGGGTCGATAGGGATATTTCCAAAAATGAAGAGCCTTATGGCAAACCCGCAACGTCTTGAAATTCCAACATGTGACACAAATTCTGAAACAAGAGAAGTCCCAAAAGTGAGGACTCTCCCTCTTAGCTCGTGATTAAAAACAGGAGAAGGAATGTACAGTTTCAATATTAAAGTATGTGGGATATGATCTAAGCAGAGCACTCAGTTCTGTAGCTGGTGTGACCTACAGTGATATTTTCAGTGGCTTAGATAGATGGTGCCTGCTGTGTGTAATGTCTTTGAGGATGGTGATGTATTGGTTTTACTGCACATAGATTTGCCAACAGTGATTTGAAATGATATTCCAAAGGTCTTCACTTCAAATATTCAGTTGGTCTTGGATAGGGCTTTTGAAATTATACCATCGGGTCATCAAATGGTCTTTGAAGAAGTGGGGGTTGCGTTGTTTTTCATCTGTAACCAGTAGAAATATTTAGGGGGTGTAGCTTTTAAAAGAAACCAGTTGAAAGCAATGCCTGGCTTGGAGGGGCCAAGTTGCTGGGGAGAGGCTTCGTGCTGGGGGAGCAGGTTAGCAGCCTCCCTCCTGCACCCCACAGCTCAGGCGTGCTCAAGGTGGTGCGGGCCTTTTGCGTCTCGGGCGCCGCAAGGGGAGCTAACATGGGTGCAGGGAAACTAGAAACCAAAGCGAGAATCATCAGGTCCTCGACACAGCATGGGGTTCCTGTGGGCAAGCCCTGATTTCAATGCCAGGACCCCCTGAGGTCGAGCATGGGTGCAAGCAGCCGGTCACGCACATCCCGCTCAGATGTACCCGTTGCTAATGGTGGTGGCTGCGAATGGCTGTGTTGCTGCATCCGAGGTTGAGTCAAAGGTGGGGAGTGGCAACATGGCTGCTTCAGCCTCATTTGTTATTCTAATTAGCGTGGGATGGGGAGTGGAGCTTGTGCTCCGCTGCCCCTCTGGAGAACCTCCAGGCTGGTCACTGAGCAAGCTTTATTGCTCACCCACCGTCCATTCCCTTTGTCAAATATCCCCCGGGCTCCTCACAAAAAACCTTTCTCAGATGCTTCCCTGGAAAACGTTCGGCAGGCTGCGTGTTTCGCAGGGTGCTGGGCCAGACTACAGGTCGGCACTGGGTGATGGCTGCGCGGCTGTTTGTCTGTCCTGGTGACTGCTCCCTCCTCCTAGGCAGGCATCTAGAGTCCATGACCCATTTTGTCTGCCGGTATCTGGCCAGGGCAAGGCAGCGTCCTGTCAGGTGAGAAGAGACCTGCAGATGTTCAAGCGAGAGGAAACCCTTAGACCTACGTGTCTGATTTTCCCCCAGCCCCGGGTACAGCGTTGCACGCCTGCGGCTCCACTCTGTGAAGTCTTGGGCTTCAGCTTCTGCACTGTTGCAGCCAGGCGAGGAGGGGCTCCAGCACCATGAGAGCCCTTCTGGCTCCCAGGGACATGGTCCTCGACGTGACTGCCCTCTGTTCAAAGTACGTATTGTGCCTTAATTCTCCCTGTGAGTGAAGCTGCAAGGGCAGATGAATTGTCGAGCAACCAGGAATCCCTGACTGTGCATCTGTCCCTATCGATAAACGCCAGCCTGTGCAGCAGCCAAACTGTATCCACAACAATCTCGAAATGTGTGTTTGCCGGTGGGGTTCATCTCCCAAGATTTTAAAGCTGGATTTAGGTCTCTGGCATTGTGGCAGTTTTTAATGAGCTCTGTAGCAACCTGCTATTTTTATAACATTTTTTTCTGTTGTGTAGTCTGCTTGTTCTCTTTTTTTTTAGAAAAAAAATAGCTTGTGTTCAACATGAGTCCAAAATTTCAAATGGAGAATAAGCCTGAGGTTGCAAAT